AAAAAAAAAAAAAAAAAAAAAAAAAAAAAAAATTGTTTGTGTGTGTTTTTAAGTAATCCATAACACGAGAGCCTTTTGTGGTAATGAGACCCAGATTTCCTTCTGTGTCTGTATTCCTTTATGCAGGCATGATTTCTTGGAAAGGAGAGACCATATGTCAAACAGTGTCTCATTGAGAACATGGAATGATTCCATAGATGCTGTGGCAGTGATTAGAGTCTTAAATATTTTGTCCTGTCTGGATCAGTGAGTGCTTGGTTCCTTACCAAATCAGCTGCCTCAGTGATTGGGAAGGCAGGATGGTAAGAGCTTTTAGATCACTTATTTGTACTTGGATGCATTTGAATATTAATAGTTTGTCCAACATATAAGTCAAAGGGGCATTTGAATCAATTTATAATATTGTCATGGCCATTGTGGGTTGATGGTATTTATTATCATAAAAATGACACAAAAACTGCTGCTCTGAATAACTACTCACGTTTGAAAAACAAATCAGAAATTATTATGAGGAAACTGCAGATTTTTGTTTTGGTTTTAAGCCCCTGAAAGCATTGTTTAAATTAAGCTCTTTTTCACACACCTGAGTCCTACAGTTTATTCCTGTTCTCTCTGAACCCTTCCACCCCCCTCCAACTCCTTCTCCCCAGCAAGCCTATCATCTGTAACCTTCCTAACCCCGAGAGCGGCATAAGGAACGCAAACCTCTGCTCTGCATTAGGTGTTAGGGACGTCATTAATGCTTACTGGAAAAGCACACCCCCGAGAGCCAGGTTTTGGCTTTGGCAGGTAAAACGTCTTTTAGATCTTGGAATGCTGGAAACCTTAAACCTTTTGGTTTTTTAGCTAAAGTGATTGGCAACAGAAAGTGACATCTGAGGTTCGTGGCCAGCAATAGCCATAATTAACCACATGAGCTCACATTTTCCCACTGGAGGTTCAGTGGTCTTGGGGTGATGAAAGTGACTTCCCTACCAGGAGGTGGTTTTCCTTTTGAGGGTATTGGAATACCCTTGGGCCCTGTAATGCCTCACCCGTGGTCCTTTTAAAATGCTTTTTAATATAAAGCTTCAATATTGGAAATCCAACACCGTGGCGTTTAACAGTGAGGCTATGACTGAGCACTGTGGCCTGGAATGGAAACAACCTAGGGTTTTTAATAGGCGGAGCGGGGAGTCTTGTGGTGGAAACAATGGTGAGTGTGAATAACCAGAATCAAAGCCGATTTCCAATTTTAGCGAGTTTTCGGCTTTTGCTGTTTCTTTTTGGATTTTGATTTGCATGCGTAGGCTTCTCATAGAGATGCCTTTTTATCTTTAAATTTAAGCCAAATTGTTTTGGTCATTGAAAAGAGGTGCTGTTAGAAGACTAGTTTTTGTTCTTTTAATAGATACGTGGATGTGGTCTCAAAATTTACAAATGCAATTCCTTAGTATTATTAGCCTTTCAGTAATATGGAAAAATGTAGATGTTTGTGTGTTTAGCATTGGATAGGTTTTTTTTTTTTAAGCATTCATAGTTTGCATTTGACCTGTTTGGAAGGCTGGTTAAGAGGCCTGCTGCTGTTTTCTAGAAGTTTGCAAATTCTTTTCTGTCTGGCCTCATAGGAAGGGAAAAGCTTAGTGTAAAGCACATATAAAAAAGTCCAAACTTAGTGTAGTATTATACTTCATTACTGTAAGTTGTCTGCTTCCTCTTCTCCCACTTCAGAAGAAAGTTCTTAAAGACCAAGTCCTTTTACTGATAGAAATATTTTAAATTCGATAGGCCTTACCCGTTACAGAAAGCGGAGGCACAGGATTCAGTGACTTCTCATAGACTTCAGTAGCCTAGCTGTGACTCCAGGGATAGATATTTTAAGGGCAGGGGGGGTATATACAGTTCACCCTCTTATTTTATCACTCATGGATTTTACCTGTAGGACTATGATCAAGTCACTTATACAGTCTGAATTACATTTTTTTCTCAGCTCCAAATTGCTGGCATCAGATTCAGTGATTTGAGATTCCTCCTAGCTCTAACATTATATGATGATTAAATTATAATGTGGTGAATTTACAATGTAGTCGAATGTAATTTTAGTCTCTAAGGTACTGTGGTATCCAGATTTCAACACAAGTGTTATAGGACTCAAGGTACTTGCATGGGACTGGGGCAAGAGGACATGGTCTCTAAGAACAGTTAGGATTCTAGTCAGTTAGGGCATGACTGAGTAGTCAGTTGAAATGAATGCTGGTTCATTTTCTTCAGCAGTTTGATTTGAGAGAACATCAAATTTTAGTTGAGAAGCCCATTCTCAGTCAAACACTTGACAAGTCACAGAGAACTCGGTGTCCTTTGCCCTTATAAGAGAAGCGTGAAGAAACTAAGGTGATACAAGTGTGTCATATGCTTGGTACATTCTAGTGCCCAAGTTAAATTGTTGTGTTCCACAGTAAACTTCTGAGACAGTATGGTGGAGTGCTTAAAGACAGAGGCACTGGTATCAGGCCAGCCCATATGGTGTTACTGTGTTACTTCAGATGGGTTCCATAACTTCTTTGACCCTTAGGTTCTTCATCTGTGAAACGAACGAAATAGCATATAAAAAGGTACCCAGTTTCATAATTGTTGATGAATTAATGACTATCATAAATAAAAGTACTATAGTCAGTTCCTTGCAGAAGAAAGTATACAGTGAATGTTACCTGTTTTTGTAGTATACTCAAAGAGAAACCAAGAATCCGCTGTGGTAGTCAGTGGTGGAGAATGAAATGATGAATAGATGACTATAGTGGCATTCCTACAACAAGAAGGTAGTACTTGGATAACTAAATATAAAAAGAACGTGAAAATTACCACTAATAATTGAAGTTAAAGATAACCTTTAGAAATCAAGCCAAGGTCATCTCAATTATTTCAGCCTTTTCTCTAGCTAGAGATATTCTAGATTATGTGTTTAAGCCTTTTAGAGGTGTGTGTGTGTGTGTGTGTGTGTGTGTGTGTGTGTGTGTGTGAGAACTTTTAAAAGTATTTTGGGAAGACTATATACCAAACAGTTAACTTTTTTGTTCCTTCTGGGGCAAACTTGAAACGTTTTCCTTTCTTACTGTCTTCTGAGTACCTGGTGATTATTATCCTTGGTAGGTAGTAGCAGAAGTCTAGATGGTGAGTTAAAAATGTTGGGGCACCTGGGTGGCTCAGTCGGTTGAGTGTCCGACTTTGGCGCGGGCCATGATCTCATCATTTGTGAGTTCGAGTCTCAGGTTGGGCTCTGTACTGACAACTCAGAGCCTGGAGCCTGCTTCAGATTCTGTGTCTCCTCTCTCTGCTCCTTCCTCGCTCGTGCGCTGTCTCTCTCTGTCTCTCAAAAATAAAGAAATGTTGGGGCGCCTGGGTGGCGCAGTCGGTTAAGCGTCCGACTTCAGCCAGGTCACGATCTCGCGGTCCGTGAGTTCGAGCCCCGCGTCAGGCTCTGGGCTGATGGCTCAGAGCCTGGAGCCTGTTTCCGATTCTGTGTCTCCCTCTCTCTCTGCCCCTCCCCCGTTCATGCTCTGTCTCTCTCTGTCCCAAAAATAAATAAACGTTGAAAAAAAAAATGAAGAAATGTTAAAAAAATGTAATTATTTGTGACTTCTTTTTTTTTTTTAAGTTTATTTTCTTTTGAGAGAGAGAGCATGTGCATACGGGGGGAGGAGGAGGCGGCAGGGGAAGGCAGAGAGAGAATCCCAAGCGGGCTCTGCACCGTTAATGCAGAGCCCTATGCAGGGCTCAAACTCACAAACCATGAGATCATGCCCTGAGTCGAAAACAAGAATCAGACACTTAACTGACTGGGCCCCCCAGGCGCCCCTATCTGTGACTTCTTAAAAGATAGATGCTTATGTTTGACCGTTGGGTACATACATTTTTGCCCCAACAGTTGCTTCTACCTAAATTGAATCAATAAGATATAAACTGTGGTTTTTGGACTTTTACTTTCCTTTTTAAAATATTTTTCCTCACTATCCTGTTTCTAACTTCAGTCTTATTTATGCAACGCTGTCTCGTAGATAGTGAGAAAATACCCCATAAGGATGCATTGTGCCATTTCACTTTACCTTAGACTTAATAATTTGTACAATAGTACAGCAGTAGAACTATATTGCATATAAAGTTGTTAATGAATAAAATATAATGCTCATGTAGTGTACTATGATTGAACCTCTGAAACTAATTTTCACATTATAACAGACCAGGTATTATTTCTGTCTTTAAAAATGCCAGGAAAGTAATGGATATTAGAGTGTATTAAGAACTCTTAAGATAGGGGCGCCTGGGTGGCGCAGTCGGTTAAGCGTCCGACTTCAGCCAGGTCACGATCTCAGGGTCCCTGAGTTCGAGCCCTGCGTCGGGCTCTGGGCTGATGGCTCAGAGCCTGGAGCCTGTTTCCGATTCTGTGTCTCCCTCTCTCTCTCTGCCCCTCCCCCGTTCATGCTCTGTCTCTCTCTGTCCCAAAAATAAATAAACGTTGAAAAAAAAAAAAAATTAAAAAAGAACTCTTAAGATAAACATGAAATGTCAATCTCATCACATTAATTATTGGGCGGTAGTTTTAAATACAGTAAGTGAAATTTCAAGTCTTGTTAATATGTTTAGATTTATTTAAAAATCCTATAATTTAGATGTGATTAATATTTTATTTACTAGTTATTTCTTATGAAATCTCTTGAAATTGATTATGATCTATTATATACATTTATAAGGTAAATAGTTATTTTCTTTTCCTCTGCTTTTGAATTTACAGCAAAAGACGATGGAAGCATTGCTGTTGCCCTTGGTTACACTGCACATTTGGTCTCCATGATTTCCTTTTTCCTACAAGTGCCCCTGAGATATCCTATAATTCATAAGGGATCTAGATCAACAATCAAAGATAATATCAATGACAAACTGACCGAAAAGGAGAGAGAGTAAGTATCTTTTTTTATATACTTTTAATATAAGCCAGTTTGAAACATGGAATATATTAAAAATATAAAATGTGACCTAGATTGTGATTTTTTATATATCCTTTGTGAAGTGCTTCATTTTAAAATATATATATATTTTTTATGTTTTATTTTTTTATATTTGAGAGAGAGACAGACAGAGCACAAGTAGGGGAGGGGCAGAGAGATGGAGAAAGAATCTGAAGTAGGCTCTAGGCTCCGAGCTGTCAGCACAGAGCCCGCTGCGGGGCTCGAACTCATGAGCAGTGAGATCGTGACCTGAGCCAAAGTCAGACGCTTAACCGACTGAGCCACCCAGGCGCCCCAGTGCTTCATTTCTTTTAAATAGAATGTGGTTATTCATTTAGGTTATAATAAATCCTACACTTCTTAAAATTGCTAATGATAGCAAGATTGACTCATTTAATTTGCTTTTGTGAGAACAAGTGTTATATACTCTGCATATTCTCATGTAGAACCTAGTGCTTGCTAGTCAACAAGTGAAATGATTAAAGATTTGTCAGACAAGCAAGAAAAGCATAAAAGACTCAGCAGCAGGTTGTACATGTCTGAATAGTAGATTAGTGAACTGGAAGATAGGTCAGTAGAAAATATCCTGACCAAAGCACAAATAAAAAAAAAGATGGATTATATAGAAAAGTGCTAGACTGACATAGGACCCAATAAAAAGATACATATAATACATATACATACAATACATATAATACATATAGTTGGGGTCACAGAGGGGGAAAAGAAAGCATAGAGGGTAATAAATGTAATATTTAAGAGTTAATGACAGAATTTCTCAAATTTGACGAAATGTATCAAGCTACAAATTCTAGAAGCATTAACTGCAACTCGTAAGTACAAAGCAAACATACTTAAGGAAATTATATTAAAACAACTGAAAACCAAAGACAAAGTGAAAATACTGAAAGTAGTTAGTAAAAAAAAAGACAACTTAGCATCAAAAGAGCAACAATAAAACTGAAAGCTAATTTCTCAGTAGAATCTTTAGGAACCATAAAAGTGATGCAAAGACATTTTAAAAGTACTATATATAAAACAGGAGCGCTTGGGTGGCTCAGTTGGTTAAGCATCTGACCTCGGCTCAGGTCCTGATCTCATTGCTTGAGGGCTCATTGCTTGAGGGCCCTGCTTTGAGCTCTGTGCTGATACCTCAGAGCCTGGAGCCTGCTTCAAATTCTGTATCTCCCTCTCTCTGTCCTTCCCCTG